AGTCACAATATAAGAAAATGAACTTCTATTAAACCTGTCAATATCTACATTTAGTACTTATTTACAATAGTAAAATAAATAATAATATAATCAATCTATAATGTATTACGGCTGGGCAATCCTAGATATTTTTTCGTATTTAGTAAACGAATAACTAGTTGGTAAATTAATCATGATATCTATCTGTTTTTTTTTCGCCGGAGATAAAAATGATATTGCGTATTTTTCGTAACTGCACATTCTGTGGATTTATTTCATTATTTTGAACAATGTACCGAAACTTAAGTGACTAAAATTAAATCTAATCTGAACCAGAATCAAAAAAACTATATTCGTGCTAAACAAATCTAATAAAGATGTTATTTTTGTCTCCTGCGAAAAACACAGACTATAGAAATCTATTGAATAACTACATAAATAAAATATCACCTACTATAAATAAAATATTACAAAGCGGAATAACTAATAAGAGTGGCAACGTCGCACCATACAAAGGAATTGAGAATGAATTAAAAACTATGTATATTACGGGGATTCTGGATAATTTGTAATATGGAAGGGAGTCCTGATCGATTTCCCTCTGTCTGGCAATATACGAATATTTGTATATCGACATATGGTAAATTTTCAAAGAAATGAGTTAAACACTATCTTTGAAATTATTTAATGGACCAATATTCGCTGTCATAATGTATAAAAATTGCCTACAAGTGGTGGACGCTACAAAGATGCGTAATGAAAGGATGTAAAATCAATATTATATATATATATATATATATATATATATATATATATATATATATATTGAAATTCGGGCAGTGCTACAGTCTCTTCAGCGGTGCCAAGTTGACTGTCGGTATATCGAAGTGCTGAAGTGTTTGTACAGTAGGGCTACGATGGCTATCCGAGTACAGAATCAGAGCTCAAAATCTATCCAACTGCAGAGAGGTGTAAGACAGGGTGACGTTATATCCCCGAAACTCTTCACCGCTGCATTGGAAGACGTTTTCAAGCTACTGGACTGGAAAGGATACGGTATTAACATCAATGGCGAGTACATCACTCACCTTCAATTTGCCGACGATATAATCCTTATGGCAGAATCGCTGGAGGACCTTAGCACTATGCTCAATGGCCTCAATGGTGTCTCCCAACGGATAGGTCTTAAGATGAACATGGACAAAACAAAAATTATGTTTAATGTCCATGTCTCACCTATGCCGGTAGTTGTTGGGAGCACTAAGCTCGAAGTTGTTGACGAGTACGTTTACCTGGGACAAATAGTCCGGCTAGGTAAGACCAACTCGAGAGGTCAATCGACGGATTGAACTCGGCTGGGCAGCGTTCGGGAAATTACGATTTATCTTCTCGTCAGGTGTACCTCAATCTCTGAAAACTAAAGTGTACAACCAGTGCGTGTTGCCAGTGATGACTTACGGATCAGAGACGTGGTCCTTCACTGCTGGCCGTATGAGGACGCTCAAGGTCGCTCAGCGAGGTATGGAGAGGGCTATGCTCGGAGTTTCTCTGCGTGATAGACTCAGAAATGAGGATATCCGCAGTAAAACCAGAGTGACCAACATAGCCCAACGGATTAGTAAGCTGAAGTGGCAATGGGCCGGCCATATAGCTCAAAGAACCGATAACCGTTGGGGAAGAAAGGTTCTCGAGTGGCAGCCTCGTACCGGTAGGCGTAGTGTAGGGCGACCCCCCACTAGATGGAGTGACGACCTGGTAAGACATGCAGGAAGTCGATGGATGCAGGTGGCTCAGGACCGTGCTTTGTGGCATTACTTGGGGGAGGCCTATGTTCAGCAGTGGACTTGTGAAGGGCTGTAATGATGATGATGATGATGACCGAATTACTGTCGCGGCGGCCTGCCTCAACAGAGACTAGCCATCGGCGCAGGACAGGATTATAGTGCCCAAGTGTATGCGCAACCACAGGTGCCTATTCCTTCATTCCACTCTCTATTCCCTCATTCTCATAATCCGATGGGACGGTAAACTGACACGACCGGAGAGAGATCAGGCGTAGGACCAACGGCTTTACGTGCTTTCCGAGGCACGGGAGTGATATACCGTCAACTTCCTGACTCCGGGCAGTTATTGAGAATTTCTTGACAGAAAAACTCAATAATTTATTTTTTGGCCCGACCCGGGATTCATACCCAGGACCTCACGATCAGCAGTCGCACTACTACAACCACTAGACCAACGAGGCAGTCATAACCATAATATATCACCAAATACAAGTAACACGTTGGCAACGATGACGGAACGGTAACGCCGCATCTCCTAATTTTGTGCGAAAGTCAAATACGGCCATAAATGAAAGTATTTACAAATCGACAGCAGCGCTATTATTTTTGCAACGAAAATATTCAGCAAGATTGGAAGAAAAATTACGTCCATTTTTTTTAGGTTTTGACATTTCTGTGATCAGCATGACAATTTGCGAACATTGCGCTAAGTCTCCTATTTGACGTCCGTATATTGGACGTCGTAAGCAGGTTAACGCCACATTATATGCAAAATTGGCCATAGTGGACGTAAAATAAGTTACGGGATGTATATATATAATTGGAATCTCGGAAGCGGCTCCAATGATTTTCATAAAATTTAGTGTCCAGGGAGTTTCGAGTCTTCGGTCCGACTATTTTCCTTTTTTTTTTCAGGTTCCTTTTTTGTGTGAAAATCTATTATTTCAAGCCCTTTTTTTAGTATTTTTTAAAAATACGAAAATTTTAACTAAACTAATTGCACTCATGATTTTTTATTCAAATAACCAGTTCAGTTTTTTCTATTATGTCAATAAGATCAAAAAATATTTTTCATGTTTCATCAGTGTATAATTTGTTACTAAATTTAATAAAAAAAAACCAAGCAAGGGTATTTTAGTAATAATATTTATTGTTTTGATATGTTTGTTTTCTGCTGAAGAGCAGTACTATATACTTCTGCAGCTTTCCAGACAAAGCTACATAATTAACTCAGAATGCTGTGTGAAAAAAAAATCATGATTTTTGATGATGAGATTTCACTGATGCAACCAAGAAAAAGCTTTTAAGGACTACACTCCCATGAGATGTAAGTTAATGTAAATTGATTACTGTTCAATTAATTCTAATTTATTAATGTAAAACTTTGTGAAGAAGTTTTTATTTTGGTACTAGGATTATTCAGACATAATAAATACACACAGGGCAGGAATCTAAAAATTACAAGTCTTATAAAAAAATCATAATTCCCTTACTTTGTTATAGATAATTTGAGTTTGTAACATTATACTCATAGTTACTAATCAAACTTTTTAAAAACAACAAAAACCTAAAGAAAAGCTCAGGCATCACATTCAATGCATAATTACATAATTATCTAATGATTTATTAAGTTTACGTGAACACTACATATGAATAGTAACTAAAACTAGTTTTTATGGAGTATATCATGTATAATATCTTATTTTGTTTTCCCGACATTTCGAGCACTACAGCACCCATGGTCACAGGGGGACATAGGTGTTTGACTTCCCAATGTTATAGTTAACCACGGCTACCTCCAGATTAAAGTTATTAATTTTTGTTCTGATCTACACAGATGATGAAGATGAACTTATAGTTGCAAGTCTTGCAGTTGTGTGCTTGGGGTTGGGATTCAATTTTTTTATTATAGAATCCCAAGTGGAAGGTAGCACCCAGCCATCGTCTCTATTGAAATTAGTATGTTTTTAATTTAAAGTCTCGTGAATTATTCTTTGAAGGAATCTGTGTTATTTAGCGAGGATTTGTGGTCTATCAAATCTGATGTAGTGACTTAAATATATAATTATCACTTTATTTAAATACATAATTATCACTTTATTTTGTCATAGGTTTATCAGATTTAACAGCTTCGCTGCCAACTGGAATATGGTGAATTCATAGGAAAATCCATTGTTTTTTTTTGTAAAATATGCATGAAGGACGTTTCAATATTGTTATTTTGGAAATATTTAACTATTTTTAGAAGGTTTTGGTAAGAAAATATTGGTAATAAAAAAAAGGTAATAAAAAAATTGGTAATAAAAAAATCCGCGTATTTGAGGACCTGGAGGACCTGGAGGCACTAAGATTGACATTTTCAACCCCAGTGCCAAGTCTGCAATTTTGCGGAGTAGTTTCTTTTATGTATTATGTTTTATTTAAAATTATCTATGGTATTTAAACACAAGAAAATAGTATTTTGCTTAAATTCTAATACCTTTGGTAACATTTACTAAAGTCTTTCACAGGATAATCTTACAAAAAATAGTATAAAATATTAAAAAAAAATTCAAAGTAACTACGATTGCAAAAATAGCTGAATTACAGCATTCTAAGTAAAACTAAACACAAAACCTCTAAAAATAATCACAGCTTCCCCAACTCACAAAAAATAAACTTCCTACCTAATATATAAATACCTAATAATAAAATATTCTATATAATGTTTTGTTAGAACTTTATAAAATCAACTCACAAAATAGCCAGCTGTATGATTGCGGTCTAAATAAAAAAAAAATTACTGATAAAACTTCTAATGCTATATAATCATATTGCTGATGGATACAAAAACCAAAGCTTTGGTAACTAAATAAAAAAAAACTTAATTAAATTTAGATGGACAAGTGGTATTCATCGAAACATTCATAGCATAGACTAGGTTTGTCTTTACACATTTCGCAATGCCACATAGAGTCTTTACGTTTTTTTTTGTGTTTTTGAGCACATGCGGTACATTTTACGCCTAAGAAATCCTTTGGAATTTCTCTCAGTAATTTTACTGATTTTGTGCAGCACTTCTCTACTTGTTCTTGCTCTGCTTGAACCAGCAACCACTGAAGTATTGTTTTCGGGTAACAACTCATTTATCACAGATAAACGGTAATCATAGTGTCATTTTCGATTTGCCAGAATATTTGTTATAAATTTTGTATGAGTTTATGAAGAGAAGTTGAAAGGTATTATGGATCGCTAACTTCAGATACGAACATAGTGTTTTTCTATCACATGGATAAAATGCGAGCAACTGGTCTTGTCTACAACTCCAGACATAAACTCATTATATTTTGCAATAGCTTCTGGCTTTTCACTGATCTGGCCACGTTTATTGGCAACTGGCACCTTTTTGTCTTCATATTCTGTGGTGATGTACATCACTGGGCGTTTGTCTTTCCACTTTCCGATGTGTACACTTTCTTGAAAACGTGATATATTTTCACCTTTTTTCAGTGTTTTTTGGTAAACTTCCTTTGGATTTTCCTTCAAATCTTTTCGCAAGGTTCCAGTGCAGTATGTTCTATTTTCTAAAAGACGCTTTGCCAAATGGAAGCTATTGTAATAGTTGTCCATATACAATGAGTGGCCGTTCTGAAGATGCTCTTCCATCAATTGCATCACAACTTTTTCTGCGTGCCCTTTTCTTGCCACTTCAATGTCTTGGCTCCCTGCACGAAATTTGAGAATGAGACCATCAGGTTCAGTCAGCATGTACAGTTTGACTCTTACTACTTATGTCTTTTATTTTTGGTGTACTGTCTAAATTTGAGACACCCTCTCCATAGCACCATACTCTCGTCCAAAGACAACTCTTTCGCAGGATAATAGCAGCTATCCATTTTTTGATTGAAATAATCTATGACGCTGCGTATTTTGTACAGTGGGTCTGGGTCAATCACTGCCTCTGAGCTGAAGTGGAGACATCTCATTATAAGCAGATATCTGTTTCTACTCATAAATTGCCCAAAAATAGGTATTGAAAATGAACAGTTCGTTTTCCAATAATCTTGTAGGCGGGGGGTCGGGGGTAGTTGAATGAACCCCATGTGAAATAATAATAAGCCTAAGAATATTCTCAGCTCAGGAATATTCAACTCCTTCCAAGCATTTATTCTTGAATTTGCTAATACGGTGTTTCCTAATAACTTGGCAGCTTGAGAATTAGTTTTTTCGCAAATCATAGCAAGAAAATCATCTTCGAAGAAGAAGTTGAAAAATGTTATTGGAGTTTATCCAGGGTTGCCGGAAAACGCATTCTGTTTAGTAAAGTTTATATTTTGTAACTCACATGTCGTATTCCACCCTACTGTAGATTAGAGATGGGTCGTTGACGGTTTTTCCTTTAACGAAACGTTAACGTTGATTTACTTTTTGTCAACTAGTTAATCAACTAGTTGAATCCTTTAACAAGTTAACTTACTACTAATGTCAACTTTCAACGTAAACAGTACTTTCATTGAACGGTTTTTATTCAACGCTGCAAAGTTCAAGTTTAGAAACTTGATATATATATATATATTGGAAAATGTTTGATTGATGGATCTACACCATATTTTACTCAGGCGTATTTAAAGGATTATCTGATTCTATTTACGCTAATCAATTATTATTTACAATATGTTTTTTTATATTTTTTTGTTTTTTCATTTTTTTCCATAATTCTTATGTTGATTTTATGTAATTCGTCAATTTGTTTTATTTTACATTTAATTCATACCCCTTGAACTGGTCACAATTCACTGTTACTCCTACGTCCCGAAATTTTCAATTTTGTACCTTAAGTAATGCTATTTTATGTAAATATACAGTTATATTAATACAAACCAATTTACACTGTTACTATAAACTTTAACTAAAAAGTTTAAATATTTACGATAAGCCGCAAAAAACTTCTGACCTTCTGCGCAACTTGTCACAAACTGTCAATCAAAAATTAAAGAAAGCGAACTTCATATTGTTCATAAACGTAAACAAACAAGTTCTTCTGGGGCGGCACGAGGGGGATGCACCATTCCACCAATATCGTCATAAGTACTATTCTTAAAATAAATATTTCTAAAATGAACTCTTTTTTATTCTTCACTTAGGATTCAAATTGCATGACTAGACCGTCGCTCGCAGTCTATGAGGTATTTTCAACGTAACTTTTTTTATTTGGTCAGTCCGTCTCGTTTATTGAACGAGACGCACACGTTGAATTCATAAACGTTGTTGACGAATTCAACTAGTTGATTCATAAACAGTAAACGTTAATCCCACCAAAAACATTCTGTAAAAAACTAGCCAAGTCTCGATGGAGCTGCTTGTTTATCTCTAAAAAGTAATGAAATCTAGACAAAGTCGTGCCAAGTCTAAGGTTCCTTACTGCGATTTATTTATTATTGTAGTTAATGTTGTGTGACTTGGCCGTTGAAGGGTACACAAGGGTACAAAATCAGGTGCTACATGACACCTTTGCACCAATCTGTCGCCCGAACCGCTATCCATTGACGATGGAAAATTGCCACTATTTCATACGATTCTGAACGAACTAAAGAGTATTCTGAAGAATTATATTCACTCGGTTATATAAGCAAAATCAAATATAACAGCCATTCGCTTTTGTGCTGTTGGTTCTGTTTGTTGCGTAATCGTTGAAGTTTTGTGATTGTGATTTTAGTTGGATTTTCTTTCAAAAAACTGTAAGTAATGTTATTTATCTTTACTACGTAATGTTTTTTGAATGATCTAAGTTACAACAACAGTAACTTTTTATGTTTCAATTGATAAAAAAGTAGAATCAAAAAACCTCTACGCGAAAAATTCATTACGGTCAAGATTTCTAATAAGATAATAATAGTATATTTCTTATTCGAATACCATAGTAAATACTTTTACTAGGAATTGCTAAATGTTATATCTATATGATTGTATAAGAAAAATAAAGGAAGACGCTATAATATATACACAAAAAGGTTTTGAAAATGAGGTTACAAAGCGCGCGCAAACTGTCTATTGTCGAATTTTTAGCAAATGTTTGCAAGTTAAAAAGTAGAATTATTATAATTATTACATGCATAATTTCGGTTCATTTAGGAAGAATACGTTGTATTGATTGTAAGGACATAAAATAAAATAAAAACTTATGATATTTCATTCATAAAATAAAATTTGTTGTCAGTAAGTACACTTTATCAAGATCCGTTAGAAACAAAGAGCTGTACAAAATAAAATAAACATTTAAATGTTATGGTTATTGTTTCTACTTATCCGAAAATCTTATCGGCTTTAAATAACTGTAACAAAAACCTAGGCGTCAAATCGACCACCGATCTAACATAAAATAGACGTACAGACGGACTTCTATCAATGATTCGAAGTCCGCCTGTACTGGAAATAATTTTTTATACTGTTTGATTCAGGCTCGCCTATACAAAAGTATTATTGAAATACGCAGCTTTATCAAGCCTACAATTGACTGGTTATTCAATCAACGTTTTCCAAGTGGCAATTTTCCATCGTCAATGGATAGCGGTTCTGGCGACAGATTGGTGCAAGGGTGTCATGTAGCACCTGATTTTGTACCCTTGTGTACCCTTCAACGGCCAAGTCACACAACATTAACTATAATAATAAAGAAATCGCAGTAAGGAACCTTAGACTTGGCACGACTTTGTCTAGATTTCATTACTTTTTAGAGATAAACAAGCAACTCCATCGAGACTTGGCTAGTTTTTTACAGAATGTTTTGGTGGGATTTTACTTCTTTTTGTAGAAACGTGGGCACATTGATTTATTTTATTAGATTTTCTTATTCGACACATGCTTTTTCTTTTTAGGAGTAATTTTTTTATTATTACAAATCTTTTTTTTTCCGGTTCTGATTCTTGTACAGTAGCAACAGTTTTTCGTATTGCCAGTTCGCGTTCATTATTTATTCTTTTAGACGGTTTAGACGGTTTAAAATCTGAAAGATCGGCGCGGTATTTACGCCTAAGCCGGTTGTATTCGGTGATCGCTGAAGCTTGAGCTTTTATACTCTTGAAGTCAACATTTATGAGGTGCATCCCATGAAGATTGGTTACTCGTGAAAGCGCCACGTAGGCTTGGCCACAAGTGAATATGGAGGCGCCAATGTCCATGAGGGCATTATTTAGACTTAGACCTTGGCTCTTGTGAATTGTTAGGGCATACGCCACACAGATTGGGAATTGTTCCCTGTACACGTATGCCCGGGGTATGATCTCAAATTTTGACTTAATAGGAAATAATTCGTGAATCAAATTACTAGCGAATTTTACTACCAATTGTTTAGGCTTTGTTTGGTCTTCCGGGTCCCACCTTACTTTTTGTACAACGCCTAATGACCCATTCACTAAACCTAAACTAACATCAATATTTATCCTAAGCATTACTTTATCTCCCTCTTTAATGATTATAGTTTCTTCCAGTCCAGCAGTCATCGACGCATCATCTTCATATTTTTGTAAACACGCCCGGGCTTTCGTTATCATACATTTTGAACAATCCAAGGAATCTTTAGCAACTAACTTTATCTCGGGGTGCGGAATTGCTTTTAACATAGCATTATTTAACTGCATACACATATTTCTAGTCGGTAGTAAACAAGCAGTATCTTCTGGTAAGTCTAGTGTAATTTGTTTATTTAACCTTTCTCTTACTGCGCCCGCCGTAACAAAAAACAGCTTTGTCACCTCAGCTGGCGGCACTTGTTATAAACATTTATGTTTCTCACTTATGTTTAAAGATGTTTTTGTTACAGTTATTTAAAGCCGATAAGATTTTCGATAAGTAGAAACAATAACCATAACATTTAAATGTTTATTTTATTTTGTACAGCTCTTTGTTTCTAACGGATCTTGATAAAGTGTACTTACTGACAACAAATTTTATTTTATGAATGAAATATCATAAGTTTTTATTTTATTTTTATGTCCTTACAATCAATACAACGTATTCTTCCTAAATGAACCGAAATTATGCATGTAATAATTATAATAATTCTACTTTTTAACTTGCAAACATTTGCTAAAAATTCGACAATAGACAGTTTGCGCGCGCTTTGTAACCTCATTTTCAAAACCTTTTTTGTGTATATATTATAGCGTCTTCCTTTATTTTTCTTATACAATCATATAGATATAACATTTAGCAATTCCTAGTAAAAGTATTTACTATGGTATTCGAATAAGAAATATACTATTATTATCTTATTAGAAATCTTGACCGTAATGAATTATTCGCGTAGAGGTTTTTTTGATTCTACTTTTTTATCAATTGAAACATAAAAAGTTACTGTTGTTGTAACTTAGATCATTCAAAAACATTACGTAGTAAAGATAAATAACATTACTTACAGTTTTTTGAAAGAAAATCCAACTAAAATCACAATCACAAAACTTCAACGATTACGCAACAAACAGCACCAACAGCACAAAAGCGAATGGCTGTTATATTTGATTTTGCATATGTAACAGAGTGAATATAATTCTTCAGAATACTCTTTAGTTCGTTCAGAATCGTATGAAATAGAGTTCCATTGAAAATATACTGTATTTTTATATAAATTAATGAAGAAAATAGCAGCACGTAATGCGGACATGAATTCACATCTGCGGTACTCAACGGTCTCGTCGAGATGAATTCATGTCCACGGTACCTTAAAGGAATTTGAGTAATGTTCGAGTAGAATAAAGTTAATCGTTCGACTA